GACAACTTTCCCGCTCTCTTTAATGCACCCTTAGTTTATCTTTGACCGAAATGTTTGCAGTGGGCCCGGAGGTGCTAACTGGGTTACTTAATCAGCAAAGATATACATGAGTGTAAAAGTTTCTATTCTTACTGAAAACCATGCACAAGTGAATACTGTTCACATCTAAAAGTTTGACACTTGAAACATTTACATCTGCTTGTTTTCCGCGTTCGTCCAGTCATAAGCAGATTGATGAATTACCGGAGTCAAGGCAGGTGTTCTTGGAGTAGCAGCAATATTCCACCCTTATTTTCTGTTGATAACGTGTGTCTAGATGGTTTGATTGTCTCCATTGCTGGTTCTATGTCGGCGGTCACGGGGAAGTTTTATGAGACATGGAATGGTGTTTCTCTGGCTGAGACAGCTGGTAGTGGTCACAGTAGTAAGAGAAAATGCACTATTTAGTAGCATGAAGCTGTGATAGGCAAAAGTGTTTTGGTGGCACCTGTGGAGTTTCGCGCCAACAAGTCGACAATGGTGACCCTTTTTTCACCTTTTCAGATAATCATCTTTGGCGTAGATGTGGTTCCAAGCTATTGAACAAAAGATGTGTGTACTTTGCAGTAGCTGGCTGCGCCTATTGAAAGTGGTAGATATGAAGAGGTCAGTTATCTCTGACCACTGATTCTCGCGTCCTATATCTTGTGTTAGGTGTAATAATATGGTGAGCAATATTGAGGTCCGTGTACCAAACCAAAAGCACACTTACTGTATGGGGATAGGTGGTACTACCCAGTTGTCTAGGCTGAAAGAGGCAAAGCAGGACTCAAACTTGAAATCCACTGACCAGAAGCCTGTGTGCCTAAGCTAATGAGTCCCATCTCCAGAATAATGAGGTTAAGAGTAGTGTTAGGTAAGAAAGGAAAGTCAATCGTTGAGTCTGCGAAACTGACGAACGACCACCTACCTCATCGAGAAATGTAGGCTGACATAAGATTAGGTTGGAAAGGATTTGGAGGCAATTAATTAAAGACGTGATATTGATCCATGAAGTCTTTGACTGTTGGTTTTAGTCACGCATGCAGGTGCAGGCTGGTTGGGTCCCTCAAACGCTAAATACTAGTGGTTGGAGACTGTTGGTGATATGGTTAAAAATCGTTCTCATTGGCGCAGATGCATTCACTGTTTATAAACTCCTAGATCCATCACATTCTCTGTTTAGTTCTTCCTTTCGTGCGTTTCCGTTTATTACGGCTTATTTATAGTTTTTCTCTACTTCTGTGTGCTTCATAAAATGTGGCAACTTGGACTGCTGTACTCATGTGTAAATTCAGTCCAGTTACTCAACAACAACAACAACCTGCATTTCCATACAGTTAACAATGAACCAAGCCGTTGAGATTAATGGCTAGTGATGCAAGAGACTTTGAAGCAGTTAATAAGAGTAAATCAGGCTACTTTAATTAAAAGAAGCGTTGAAAGAAGTACGGGAATACTAGATAGGTTCCTTGCCTTGAAACGTCACACAAATAACTCCCAGTTCTAAATAAGAGTGTCGGTATTCATCCAGATGATGACCATTGATGGACGTAAGCTGATTTTGCATTGCAGCATAGCTGACTTATTAGTTGCCCGAAGGAAACACCGTGTGCTGTAATATACCTATCGTCTTCACACCCGCTTCATGGGGCAAGCTATTTACCCTGAGGTAGTGACAGCTTTTAGTCTCTGTTACCACGATAGAATCTGCAGGAAGATTCGTTATAGGTAGTGTGGCTTGGGTCATTGCGACATACAAGCCCGATCATCAGGTTTCATTTGGCTCTGGACTTTAATGGCAGGAGGACGTAAGGAAGCATTACGGAGATGGCTAGCAAACGTTGGTACCGGCTAATGATGTGTTGGGATCTGGTCAAAGATTCGGAATTCTGTAGATTACGTGTTGCAGCAGCAGTGTTGCTTATGAGGAGTTGAATGAATAACTGTACTTGGGTCCTGTATTAGTACAACATACATTCAAAGACTGATTTAATTCATCTTTATCCATGTAAATGTGTGTAATTTAATACGAGATACTGTTGAGTCAGTTTGGAGGGTTTCTACATTTATCGTATATTTTATGGGTATGAAGTACATACCAAGCCAGTATGTCTTACCAACGCTGTCGACTAACAAGAATATTGTGTATGTATGTGTGTGTGTGTTCTAGACAGAAAATCGATCCCCACGGGGACAAAGAAAGCGGAGTTATTTCTTTCAGTAGATCAGTCTTTCTTTGTAAATTGTAGTTACTGCAGTAACTGAAGCAAAAGAGAGATGCAATATGTGTATGTGGCAGCAACTGACTGCAGGTTTTATTTAAGTGTATTACTGGTTTTTATTTTGTCATGCATCTGCTAAATGTGAAGCTAAAATTTGTTGTTTAGGATTTCCTCCTTATTGAAAGCCTGTTTACTGTGACTTCCTGCTTCTTTTGTACATTGTACGTTTCAAACTTTAGAAGTGTGGAAATATATTCCTTTTTTGCAATTGACTGTGTTAAGGCTGTAGAGATGTAAAACTGACACCAGGTTGATTTCATGCTTTTTTACTAAGTTGGAAAAACGTTTAATATGCATTACATAACCATTTTGATGTGTTGTTAAAACTTGTGTAATTATTGTCATTTTGTCTACAGATCTAGATAAAATGCGCCGCTTAGACTGCTGTCTGTTTGCTCTTTACTTGGCTGTTACGGAAATTCTTGTTTATGTGGCTTCTGAAGAATTGTCTGTGTCGCCTATCGCTCAAGCATTACGTGTTGGTGAATCTGGGATTTTTGAGTGTTCTACAGAAAACTCAAGCCATGCCTCATACCTACAGTGGGTACTTAATGATGATACAGTTCTTCTAAATGGTAATCAGTCAGCAGATGGTCGATTTGCTAATGAAAATGGTATCCTGACAATGAGTAATCTTACTTTACACCATTCTGGTGAATATCAGTGCTTCGATCCTGAGACAAATAGCAATGTAACAAGCCATCTAAAAGTGTATATTATGCCATCTTATGTACTCGAAGGATCTATTGTTATTGCTGTTAATGGTGTCCTCTTGATCCTATTTATCTATTCAGTCATCAAGACTTATCGGGAACAGAATCGAAAAGATCGTATGCATGCTTTTTAAATAGTGTTTATTCAATAAAGACAGGCTGGTACATGCACAAAATGATTTCATCCTTCTTCTTTTTCTTTATGAATGTAAATGTATATAATTTAGCACAAGATAATTTGGAGTTGTACTTTCTAGTAGCTATGTGGCGTGTGTTATTGAGAAGATTTATAACTAGTATATAGATGGGAAACACCACAACATCCAGCTGTATCTTCGTTTCATGTTTTCCATGTTGTTTCGCAAGCATTCTTCATTAAATCCATCTCTCTGCTGTTCGATATTCTTCCAGCTGATGTACACATTTATATCTGCATCTATATACTACTTATATTCATGTTGTATTACACGCCACAGCTATAGCATATATATTTGTATAGAGAGAGTTATTTAGTGTTAATTCATTAGTTCCAATGTAGATTGCACTAATGCATTGATTTATTCTCGAATTTTTGTTTATTCTGTGGTCGAGAACCAGCAATTAGATCATGTACGTTGCGTAACTACTTTTTTCTTTTATGCGTTTTTATTGTGTTAACTCTGTGTGACAGAAACTTTCCTTCTTCCCTTCATGAACAGACGCTCTCAGTTACTGTGATCATATGTGGAAAATGTAGTTTCTCTTTATTGACTTCCAAAGATTGGATTTCTGCTCACTTTGTATTTGTAGTCTTTCAGTGAGCCCAGCGTCTAACTCTTTTCATTGCTTTCTCAGTTTTCATTTGTGTATACGTATATTTGTTGATTTGAAAGTGATTGAACAAAATATTCTGATAATAATGTACTTGAGTTTTTATAAAGCGTTGTGTCTTTTCAGAAGAAAAAGATTTGTGTGGGCCGAAAACTGAAGCGTTTAACTCTTTGTGACCGGTTGTTATTCTGCCTTTTTTGAACGAATGCTTAGTATATTACTTAGAAAGCCTTGTTACATCATTGGAATCTATTGTGCGTGTGTGTGTGTTATATATATATACACTGGAAATGGTTTACAACAGACAACTTCTGAGAAATGTGAATTGCTTGCATGATAGCACAGAGAGAAAAGTATGAGAACGAGGATCGACTAAGGTGTACGATTTTGCACAAAATAAACGAAAATAAGCTACTCAAGGTTCTGACTTAGTTTTCAAGGTAGAAGTTTGCAGAAAAGTGTGACATTCGGAGTTGTCACGTCGGATCAAGTAAACATTAAGGTGGAATGAGGAAACTGCGACAAACATGAATGTAGGGGAGAGAGAAGTATGCAAGTTTAATAGATCTAGGAGATTGGAAGTAGTGAATGCATATCCACTATTGAAAACCATTTTCAGTCGTGTCACCACCAGTTTCGAGTCACTGGTTCTTAGCATGTCAGGGACCTGAGGCAGTCTTCACCTTTCTTCATGGCTTATATCATAGACTTGATGGATTGATTTTATATTTTTATTTGACCACTCGTAACTCAAGGTTATGCGAACCCACAGAGTGAATAGAGTCTGTCAATCTTATTCTATACGACTGCTGATATCGTGTTTGAAGCCAGTTGCTCGGATCTGATGTGTCATATTCTAGGCTATGGGTGACGCTTATTTTGTGGCGGCTGATGATACTGCTGAAGCTAAGATAGGTGGAGCGGGACTGGGACATGAGACGCATTGGCTGAAAGTGTAGTGTTTAAGGCATTGAGCCACACTTGTAATACCATGAAAACTGAAGTGAATGATGACTTCAGCTGATTCCTACCTTATCTCTGTTTAACCACCTAGCTTTCTATTGACTAGACCGCTGATTGATTAAGCAGCTTTGTTCATCAGCTGGCAATGAAGACGGTTATCACTGAATTGGTTTTCGTGTACTGTTGGAAGTGTATAATTATCTGGTTGTGTATACTGATATATCCTGAGTGCTATATAACTAGAATAAGGTGAAACCTTGCAAAGAGGTGCATTTCATATTTGTGGGCAGAGAAAGGAATAAGTAAACATTCTTAGGAGTGTTAATATATGGTGGGAAAGTTGTGATATTTTTACGTGGGCAGCCATGTTATAGAATTTTCGAGTAGAAAAGTGTAAGCTGCTACTCAATGTATTTACTCCCTTGATAAGTGACCGTTGGCAAAGGTGACACGGTCACAAGTTATGGAATACTGTCGTAGCTGATAATTTACATCTGTGGCTTACGGCCTTAAGCAAGACTTTTCACTATTCGGTCCTACACTCAAATCTCACCATACATAGTTCGCATTGATCAGCCAGTTGTTATTATTGGTCTTCTAATTCGAATTCCCTATATTGCTTCCCAGTTAATATCCTATTAATATCATAAGTTGTATAGGCACTTCAAATGTGCGAATATTCTGAAAAGCTTGTTGGCTGAAAACATTTCAACTAGTTCTTTGCTTAAAGTAGGTCGTTTTCGAAAATCACTCAACATAATAATCATTTTCAACTGATTTGTTGGAAATAGGAATTGAATAGTAATTAGAACAACACATTTAAGCGAACAATATTGTTTTCAATTAGATCTCATCAGGCTTAATTCTGATATATATAAGTTTGCAAATAAAAATTCAAATATAAACCAATCATGGTGTTTTGTCTATAGGATAATACGATGTTGAATATAAATTGTGCAATTAGTCATAATAGTAGTAATGATAGTAATAATAAAAATGGTCTTATCAATAATAAGGATGAAAAAGTGAGGCAATCTGTGATAAGACGAATAATGAAAAAAACAATATGATTAAACAAACAACTATTCAGGTGGATGTAGTCGATAAAGGCTAGTAAAAACAAATGAGCCGATTAAGTAGTGTTAGATTGTAAGGGAAGGAAATGAAAAACGTTTATATATTGAAGATAAGATTAAGGGATGATAAGAAAGGGGTTGGAAATATAAACAAAGGGTGGTGTAGAAGTCATTAGTTGGTTATGTCTTTTAATAGGCCAAGGGAGGGATAATTATTTGAGATCTTAGACATGGGACATTGATGTTTCGTGGATCCAGTGGTGAAGGAAACTGAAAGTTTGTCACCCACTTGTAGAAATTCAAGTGTCCCACTATCATATCTAAACTAGTAAATAAGCACAACAAAAAATGTGAATGCAGCGTGTGTGAAGAGATTTCGTCTTGAAACTGGATAAGTATAATGTATTAAAAAGATTGACAACCTGGAAATACTCAAAAGAGTAATGAGACGTGGACACATCAGTCTCGGAGAGAAGAGAACAGAAGTATCTGCTAACTGTCTTCAAGAAATATGGATACCTCCACAGTTCCATCAAAGCATATCCTAACTCGAATCCAACTAACAGGGAGAGACTTCGTCCGATGATATGTTTGTATAGTAAACGCTGAGTACAGCTGACATACTCTACTGCACAGGAGCAGGTGAATTAACAGATACACATTCAGAAGTCCTGAAGTAGTAGCTGATCCTTCACGTTCATTCGACTGACTGATTTTGTAGGAGGATTGAGCAGGAGTTCAACTGTGAAGAGGGTTCTCCTCAAGGAACGAGATCAAGGGTTTCATAATATTTTTCCTAATCAATCTCCGCTGAATTGCAGATTCAGACTGATAAGTGTTTTGGTGACAGGAGTTGTGTGTGGTTTAGTGGTGTAGGCTACATGGATTTTGTGATGCAGTGTTCAGGGTATCCATTTTCAATGAGAACCTCCTCTAAAGCATCCTGCTGCTCTCCCATGTAGTGAGAAGTGCTGATGTCACGGATGAGGCCACGTCTTGTGTGTAGAGGCACCCACATGCGACTGAGTTTTCCATTACTGTGAATGAATTCTGTCACTGTTCAATTGTAACGTATTGTGAGTTGAATATATAAGAAGGATATTTTTGAATCATATTCCTTTTCTAATGTGAACTGGATTGCAGAGTGATATTCGTGAAGAAAATCTAGAATACCTCCTGAATTCTCTCTATCATTGGTTATAATATAGGTACCATCCACATATCTCTTGTAAAGGCCAAAATTACCGATTGATTTCTTTGAGTAAGTGTCTTCAAGATTCTAAGATCTCAAAGTTTTGATGGCACGTCCTTGAGAACATTCCGCTTGTTGCTACGAGAATGTATTTCATTGATAAAATAAGTCTGCTTTTAGTATAAGTCTCTTAGAAAGCCAAAAACTCATGCACAGATACTTAGGACAGGTGTTTTATTATTAGCCTCAGATGTTGAAGTGACGGCCCGAAGTTACCCCTTTTCGGTGAAATCGTACGGATACTGTAACTTACTTTGTGGACAAATGTGAGTACTAAGTATTGATTAGAATGTTATTTCTCAGTTTTAATGGACGTTGTCTTTATTTCTTCATCTTACATGCTTTTATCTCACAGACAATGTTTCAACTGGCCGCTACAGTCAAAATAACCTCTAGGAGATCATCTTCCCACATTACTTGAAGAATTCTGAACTCGTTTCCTTGGAGATATTAAGCAGAAATAACGTTAACAAGTGTTATATGACTATCTACTCTACGTAGGTCTTTATATTGGTCACACAACTGGCAAAATCTCTGTCCAACCTAGCTGATTTCTTCTCTGAACTATTCTAGTCAGAAGTTCATTTCTGTCATTGACGGAAAAGTTTCACACAATGGAGTCACACTTTGGATCTTACTTTACCTTTGATTAATTCCATTTACTTCATGGCTTAATTCATCTAACTAGTTTTCATTTCTTCCACCTGGAGTGGAGATATTACGTGTCATTGTGGACGAGTACAAAGGCTTGGACGTCATGGTGTACTCCTCTTAATATACTGGTTACACGCACATCCTCACAGTCGGTAGTTTAGCCGTACTATACATATAAGTCTTACAATCCGTTCCGCACATAATCTTCTTGATTCTGTTTAAATATACTGATCATCAGAACACATTCCCAAATAACTGAGTCTCAACGACTAGTATTGTGTCATCATTAATTACAGCTCAGATAGCTCATTGATTAAATGAGTTATTGGGCATGGTGCAGCATATCAACAACATGACCAACACCTTACACTATTATGTC